TTTTTTTTTTTTAGCCGTTTAATGCATTTTGTTGTGTGTTTTGAGGAGTGCAGAAATTTTGACTTCAGTCTTTCGGTGCTGCATAGATATCTTTATAACCTATTTGGGTCATATTTTTCCAACATATTCAGATTATTTTATTTTCTATTATGTTTTCTGAACTATTATATCAAATTAGTTGCGACAGATTTGCCAAATAAGGTCTGAACTTACCGTCTTCATTCTCCTCTGGTTCTGCGCCAAACTCTGGCTCCAACATGTAAGACTGGATGGACAAGCCTTTTGTCGACATCTTTTATTTAATTTGTAAAGAAGTTTCTGTGCCACTGTATAGCCGTAAACCCTTCTGTCAAACTAGAACAGACCACTGTGGAAGCTGGAGGGGGGCGTGATGTGAAGCACCAGATTTGGATTTAAAGGGGCTATATCCCAAAATCAACTTTTTTMAGTTTTATATCATGTTATGTTATCCTCTCATCAAAAACATGCCCAGAGTCTTACTTTGACTCATTCATGCATGTTTGAAAAATCCTGTAGTGTCCTGAGGCAGCAGGCAGGGGAGCAAAAATGACCAGTTGGAACTAGAACCACCTTTTGGGATCAGCTCCGCCTCTGGGCTGTGTCTCCAAGCCGAGCTTCCTCATCACGGAGCACACCTCCCCACCCCGCACCCAACACACCCCGCCCATGACTCTCAGCAACAAAGCAAACAACTGGTGAAACTGAAAGTGAAAGTGAAACTGTCTGCTGAGCTCCTAACACTACTTCTCCCTCAGTGAAGCTCTTTTCAGATTCAAAATACCTTTGAGGACATGTATTTTCAGATGCCAAGTAAACTGCATCATAGCCCCCCACTCCCCCACACACACACGCACACACTGAAATTGTCAAGACAGAAGTGGAAGGTGGTTCTTAAAGAAACAGAGGCCAATTTCAAGGTGTTTAGAAGAGGAAGTGATGAGAAGATAAGTTTATTTTCTATTTAAACATAAAAACATTTTAATAACAACTAAAGGTGACATAGATACTTTATTATGGTATAGTATTTAAATATARGCCTGAGAAACACATAATATTGGCCCTTCAAAGAGACAGCCTCAAAATGAATTGTTCACACCTCAGAAAAAAAGGTGAAACTTCTTTCATGCTTGTGGAGTTACAATAAACAGTAATTCAGACCAAAGCATTGCGGTTCCACTTTCTAAAGACCACAACTGAATGATTTAAATGTGAAAAATCATGATGTCTCCTTTCACGTGACAGTAAATCTGAACTGACTCAAAACCAAAGTGGCCTGCTGATATTTTCCAACAACAACCAGATTCAAATATTTTATAGTGAGCATTGTTTTGTAACCTTCACGTGACCATCGGTTTTGTATAACACGGTTATTCACATTGAAAATTTMGATTATTTCCCAGACAAATTAGCAGCTGAAGCAGTTAGCTTCTGCTGTAGCCTGAGGACACAACTGGGAGGAATATCACAATATTTCTGACAGAATACCTATGAAATACAATACTGTTGTAGTTCAAAGGTTTATAAACTAGTGTTTGCATGAATTGATGAAGTTTTGGGAGTTCTTAATGAGATATTGAACTACTGAGCAGGACAATCCAAACAAATTCTGTCCTTTTCCCCATAATCTGCTTTCATTATCACAGTGCTGTCCTAAGAACTGAAAACACAGACAACTTACTGTAAAACCCTGTGGTTATTTTACAGTAATTTGTTGCAGTGAACCTGCATTCTTTAATCAAATTAATAGTTGGCTCTAATTGTAATCACGTTGTTTGGTTTTAGTTTTTATTTGAGTGGCCAGTCCYTTTAGAAGCCCACAAAGGTCAGCCACCGCCAGAGGCAGCTGCATGTATTTACATGCGTTTGCGTACATGAGAGTGCTTTTGTCCCAGTGCATTTAATGATCCACGAATAGATGACCGTAACCGGAAGCCYTGTGCCGGGGCGTCATGGTGTAGGTGTGTAGGAGTTGGATTATTGAAATGACAAGACCCCGCAGCCTGAACGAGTCAGAAATCAGCTATTCTTGCCTGAACGGTGATGTGTCAGAATGTAAGAGGCGTCAGTGATCATAAAAAAATAAATAAAAAATAAAAAAACGGAGCACCGCCCACAACCTCAGGACCTGGCTATGCTGCAAGTCCAAAGCGCTGTTTATGTAATTGGATGTTTATGCAAGAAAGAGAGAGAAAAAAAGGATTTGAATGGATGAGGTGGAAGGCAGCAGTGCTGTGGTAATGGAGGGGGCGGGTATGAGTGCACCCACCTAGCTTTAATTGCTGTATTTCAAGTGAAATTGGAGGGGGTTTTGTATAAAGAAATGCTGCGCGTTCTAAATATTTAGAAAATAAAATGAGATGTGTCTGAAAAAGTAAAAAAAAAAGAAGAATTAAACGTTTGTGTTGAGTTTTGGTCCATATTGTCCCCAACCAGGCCTACTATAAGTACAATAATTGTATTCATGTTTTGAAAACTAGTAATAATCCTTTGGTCTTTGCTTCAGTTTAAGGATAATTTTGTGTTGTGAGTTGAGTAATGTTTTTAAACTTGTGGGCTGGTGAAATCCTTTAAAACCTCTCAGGAGAAGGGGATTACACAACCACTGAGAGTCACCAACTCTGATTACACTTTTACACCAAATCAGGTACAATTTAATGGCTTAGCAAAGCTGAAGCGTTGTGACGTTAAAGAAATGGTCCCTTTAAGAGTAAAATGAAATGAAACCATGCTCCCTACTTACACTCTCATACATTTTATGGCATATAAATGTTGTAAACTCACTGAAAACAACCACTAAATGGAACCACAAGCTAATTATTAACTTCACTACCACACAACGAGATGTTAAAATTTACATCAACTCTTTAGTTCTATCACGGTGTTGGTTTTAAAACATTTAAAATCGAAAGCTTGTAAATTTAGTTTCGTTAATTTCTATTTTTGGAAACACAAACAGAAGTTTGGGGAGGAAAAGATGACAATTTGCTGTTTCTCTGTAGTTATAAATTAAATGTAGCTAAGGTTTCAGATGAGGGTAAGTTGTGATGTTTTGGCAGAAAGGCAACAATACAACTTGCTAACATTCATTTAGGGTTCTGTGGTACAATCACAGGCTATATTTGAGTATTTTCATTTTGGGGGAAGTTAATTTGTATTGGTTTTTTTACAACTTTCATTTCCTGAGCCTAAACTGGCGTCAGTGAAGTACTTACTGATGTTTTATGCTTTTTTTCAGTATAGTGCGTGAACTTAAATGCTTGCATGAAGAGCGAGTTTAGGATAAATAAGGACCTGTTGTGCTTAGTTTGGTGGAGTCCTGGAAATAAATACAGAGCTAAAAATAAGCATATTCAACCCTCTTTAATAGCCGCTCCAGCTGAATCTGATGGCAGACAAGACTGCTGAAGCCTGAGCAAAGAAATTCACTATTAAATATGTAAAACAAGAAAATAAGAGATAGATTGTGAGAAAAGGGATTTTCCTAGATTTCCTATACAGACATTTCCAATAAAATGCTAATTAGTAGGTGTGTCCTGATACCAGTTTTTCTCAAGTATTTTAGTTTGGGTATACCCAATACCAATACTTCCTGAGTTAGAACTTAAACATTGCATAATATTGTTAAAAACACATATATTTTTAAATTAGAACAAAGTGACCCTCCTTTCTCAAAGACGGCATGAATGGTTTAAAACTTTTAAAACAAATAAAAGTAACAAATGAGATTTTCTTTAAACTTTTATCCATTTCTTGAACATGGAACAAACCTTTCACCTGAACTTTAKAATGCAAATCATTGAATTGAGTATCAATATCTGAAACCAGTACAAAATACTCCGATACCAGTATTGGTATAGAGGCCATTTGTATGAATATAAGTACTTGTAGTAGGTATTGGGACACCACTACTACTTACAAAACCTTGACGAAGCTATATGATTTTTTTAACCCAAGTATGTTTTGCACTCTAAAAATGAAATGTTGAATTTACTTAACCATGTTATGTTACCTGGTTCCACTTAACTGAGTTGAGTACATTCAAAGCAACACACTCATGTTCTTTGGTTAAAAACTGGTATATTGCTTTGACTTTACTCAACTCAGTTAAGTGGAACCAGGTAACACAACATGGTTAAGTAAATCCAACATTTCATTTTTACAGATGTCTACAAAAGAGCTGTTTAAGATGGAGAAGGCCAAACATTTTGGTAATTTAATATGTACTTATGCTCAGCTTTGTTGAGAAATGTAAGCTACCCAAATAAAAGTGCTTTGTTTAKATTGAGTGCATACCTGCATTTCAAAGTTTTGAAGCAATACAGGCTTTCTGGAAAACCATGGAGTAAACACTTAAACAGCACCATTTGATACAGCTCAGTTTAACCTTTTTCATGTTGAATTTAATAGTTTGCAATGAGTAACATAACTTGGAGGGATAGAAATAAAAATGAAAATGACCTGAATTTAATTGAAAACTTTAAGACTGTGTAGGGGGATCTATGTTTGAATAAATTTATTGGATTCTACAAATCCCTAGAAACCAGTTTTGCTTATTTTTGCACTATGACTTTTAAGATTTAAGAAACATTTCTAAAAAAAATAAGGGGTTACCTTCAACTTATATACGTAGATAAAAACAAAAAAACAACTTAAATGCTGATACTCTCACAGCCTCTTGGCTTTTAAGTCACTGGGAACAACCACACACATTCCTGGGGGGAAACCTTACACCTTCCATATTTTAGCTCTCCAACAAAAACACCGGCTCCTCTGGCAGAACAGAGAGAAAAAAAGAGAGAACGAGCCAGCCAATCAGAACCTTTGTGAATTTCGATTTTTTTTTCATTCCTTCACGGCGATTGGTTCATCTTAGCGCAGTAGCCTCCCACCCCATGCGCTGATTGGTCCGTTTTCCCGGCTGCATGAAAGTCATTTGAATACGCTTCGCTTTGTGGGCTCACTCAGTGCAGCTCCGCTGGTTTCAAATAAATGACTCGAAAGGCTGGAGAGGAGACGCACACAATGGCCGAGACTTCTGCACGGACACACTGCRGATGAATTAACCTGTTTTCTTCCAAACTACTTTAAAATAGTGTAGTTTCGTTCAGTCAGCGTTTTTCTTTTTCGGACTTTCACCACTACAACAAAACGAGGTAAGTTGTTTACAACAAAAAATGCACGTTTTTCTTGCTAAAACAACTTAAACTTTTTTTTTTTAAAAAATATACATTTATTTGGGGGTATTTTGTATCAAGACAACCACATTATTTACGTCTCTTGAATCGTTGTTCAGGTTGCCCTTTTTGTTATTATAAGCATCACAAAACGGGCAGAAAGTGCCATTTCCCCCTGAAGTTGCAGTGTTTAATATAGCTAGCTAGCTTACCACTGATTGTGATATTAAACGGCAAATGCAAAGTTCAGCTTCTTTTTAGTGCCTAATGTCGCCTTTTTCCTGTGAACATTTGTTGTTGTTGTTGTCGCTGTTTACCACCCATCATGTGAGTTTATAATTAGGCTGGCAGTCAGACAGGAGCAACCATTACTCACCAGCACCTGTGCTGGGAGGCTGCCTGCACAGCACGGCTCCTTCACAGTCAGCCTTTACTTTTTTACGCTCTTATGACTCAGTAATAAGGCCGTAATGCAGAACAGGCGGTGTGTGTGTGTGTGTGTGTGTGTGTGTGTGTGTGTGTGTGTGTGTGTGTGTGTGTGTGTGTGTGAAACACAGATCTTTTAATCTCTCCCTTGCTGG